CTTCCTACAGGACTGTGGGATTTGTAGTTTTCTCAGGTACCAGCACACTTTGGGAAAGAAAGCTAAAGACCTTGCAAAATTAAAATCCCAGGATTCCATAAAATGGAGCGACACCACTACAGGCTTTTAAAGCAGAAAGTCTTTAAAGAACGGGCTGGGGATTTTGTACATGAAATCCGTACCATAATACAGTTTTAATTGTATTTGTTTTTAAGCACTTTTATCTTTTTAACTGCATTTTATTCTTTTAATCAGTAATGCATTTTAATAATGTATCAGTTTAATTCTGTTTCGGTGTTCACTTTTGCATTTTTAACTGTATTTTGTTTAATTGGAAGCTGCTTTGAGTTCCAACGGGGGGGGGGGGAACGGGATATAAATAAACATCATTGGGGCTGAACAGACTGCCGCCCCTTTCCTTGTCAGATCAGGGCTGTGGCAATCTCACACCGTGGCCCCAATCTGGCCTTTCCGTGGCGCAAAAAGAAGCCACAAAAAGCAGCTCTTTTTTGCACTGCAGAAAGGGTGCCCTTGCCACCACTATGGCGACTTTTCTGTGCTCCTTTGGCACAGCACATGTGGACACTGGGCCAAGAGAGCACCCTGACACCTCCTGCTGTGCCGGCTCTTTATGCCAGTGTGTACAGCCCCATCATCATCATCATCATCATCATCATCATCATCATGCAGCTACAGTGGTGTCAAACTGCATTATTTCTACAGTGGAGATGCACCCTTAATTAAATCTTCAAAAGACAATTTTATTACAGATACCATGCTTCTAGAAACATAATGGAATACAGTCATATCGATGGATTCTTTATCTGCCGATTCAAACATCCACAGCTTGAAAATATCCCAAAAAGATATAAATTCTAAAAAGCAAAGCTTGGTTTTGGCATTTTATATAAGGGATACCATTTCACTATGCCATTGTATTTAACAGGACTTGGGCATCTATGGATTTTTGTATTGGTGGTGGTGGTCATAGAACAAAACCCCAGTGTATACCAAAGGGCCACTGAATATCATCCTAGCTATTTCGCGGAAGCCCTGATGTCAGTCCTAGTACTCTTTTAAGTGGTCAGCTGCTTAGCTGGGACCGTAAACTTGTTCATTATCATTCTAGGCACAGGCAGCTCTCCAGATTGCAAATGTAATGAATGTGTTTATTGCATTCAGCATGACAAGGGCAGTTGCCACCCAGTTCTGAACAAACTCCGAGATTCCCTTTCCTTGCTAAGCAACTCTTTCATATTTGCCAACGATCTTTCATCACTTCTCATTATCTCTTTTTCTCCCTCTGCTCTCTTTTCATGGTGATTCCAACAGCTCTAAAGGATGGTTGTCATGTCTCTGCCCAGAATCCAGGCATACTTTGGGCAGGTTTTCCCCAACCTAGTTGTAGCCTAAACAGGATACAATGACCTTTCTGACTCAGGCTTTGATTTTGACAGCTCTAAATTTAGGTTTCCTCTCACTGCAAGCCAAGCAAGTTTTGATAGTTACATAAACAGCAGTATTTCAGAGGACAACCCCCCTGTACGTGTATGTTCAAAAAAAGCAGGGGAAATGACTGTGGATAGAAAAATGTCAGAGTTGTAAAATTAACATTTAGTTACATTGAAATGTCTTGCAAGCACAGAAGCAGGTTACTAAAACTGTTTTCAGCAAGGTTTCAGGTAACATAGACTTCCTCTGCTGGAGGGGAAAGCAGCTGAATAACTCCTTCAGGAGGCCGTCCACACTGCAAAAATAATGCAGTTTGACACCACTTTAACTGCCATGGCTCAATGCAATGAAATTCTGGGAACTGTAGCTTTGTGGGACATTTAGCTTTCTCTGTCAGAGAGCTTTGGTGCCATAATAACCTACAATTCCCAGGATTCTACAGCATTGAGCCATGGAATTTAAACTGGTGTCAAACTGGTTTATTTCTGCGATGCAGATGCAGCCAATGAGTGGTAACAATAAAAATAGTAATGACTAAATAGCACTCAATTTTTTTAGATGTGGAGATTATGTATTCTCAGCAATCTTGACTGAGTTCTGAAATGTCCAGATTTTTAAGATTGTTCAGAATATGTTTGTTGTTGGTTTTTTTTGGGGGGGAGGTAATCTACAAAATAACAGGCCTGGGCCTAAACTGAAGTGGCAATCAAGTCGCCCTCCAGATGTTGTTGGACTATAATGCCAATGATGAGGAATGCTGGATGCTGCTGCAATTCAACAACATCTGTAGGACCACAAAATTTCCACCTAGCCTCAGCTAGATTAGAAGCCCTAAATCGATTACTGAATGGTGAGTTTAGCCTTCAGTTGTCCAATTGATTGGGCAAGGTAATCCCCTGTCATCCCACATTTTCAGCTACTTTTAAAATGACTCTTCTTACCTTCTTTCCCCCTTTGTCCTTTCAGTGAAGTTCAGTGGAGTTCAGTGGACAGGCGAGGAACAAGTGGAATCTTATCCTTTCCCCCTCTTCTCCTTTCCTGTAGGTTCAGGCAAAAGCAAACTCCTATGCCTTCTCCTAGTTTGAGTGTTCCTCCTCACTAATAATATTTGCCTTCTTAACCATATACTGATGTTACTTGACTACAGATGTCCTGGTTTTGCTCTGTGAAATGTTGGAGGGAATAGGTGAGTTAAACAAACCCCTGCTGATTCAATAGGTCTACTCTACTTGGAACTAGCAATTGGGTTTAGGCCTTGGTGGTGTTATCCAAAATTCAAGGGTCTTGAGAGGGCACCCACACTTAGTATGCAAATGGGGGAATTTTATTAGCTCAGAGGAAAACAACCAATAGGGCTAAGTCAACTAAAGCAGGGATCAAGCCTGTGTATAATGGGTCTAAGAATCAGGACTCCAGAATGCAGGTTCAACATAATTCTATTTATAATCAAAGAAAATCACTATTCACACAAGACACCCACTCATGGACACATTCAAGAACTAACAATATAAAGAAAAAAGAAAAAATGCAAACTTTTAAAGAGAAATTTGATGCTGCCACAAAGTTAAAGATATGCCTCCTGGCTCCCAATTGATTTCACAAACATTGTTAGCCTGATCTTCCCTCAAAGGATATCATCCAGATATCTAAGACCACAGATCTGATCATCCCCATTAATGCAGGCTGGGGGTGATGGAAGTGGCAGTCTGACACATCTGGGACGGTTCCAAATTGGGGAGAGCTGTGCTGTCGAATCCTTGCCCATGACATTTGCACATTCTATACCACAGTTGCACATTCTATGCCACATTCTGCACTGGGGTGGGTAGAAGCAGATGGTTCCACTCTGAAATGTCTTGGAGGAGAGTGAAATGTGTCCACAAAATATTTCAGACATGTGTAAATGTCTGATGGCATTCAATATCCCAAAAGGGACTTAAATTTTTCACTAAGCATTGCAGAAACCATTTTCCAAAAGGGAAGCCACATGAGAGCTGGTTGCTCAGATGAACAATAGAGAGTCCTGTGACCCTGTCAAGAGTAGAACATTTATTATGGCATAAGCTTTCCTTCTAGAGACCACTTTGTGACATGATGTATTATCTTTTTATATCTTTTTCACTTTCTCTCTTCCTCCACTACCCCGTCCGTTGCATGGTTTTCTAGTAGACAATGAAAGAAATTAAGTGCAGAAAATAGTGACATTAATAAATAAAGTATTAACATTGGCCATTCACAAAACTCATGTGGCTGATATCTTGCCAATGAGCTTGGTCCTCACTGGCAGCATCCACACTGCAGAAATAATCCAGTTTGAACCCACTTTAACTGCCATGGCTCAATGCTATGCAATTCTAGAAATTGTAGTTTGTTGAGGTAGCTGCTCTGATGCCTCAACAAACTACAGTTCCAGGAATTCCATAGCATTGAGCCATGGCAATTAAAGTAGGGTAAAACCAGATTATTTCTGCAGTGCAGATGCAACCACTGTGTACAATGCCCCACTACTGAATATCATCTCTGAGCAACTCCAGAGGTGTTGGGGAAGGCTTTGGTGAGCTCCCCGCTTCTGTAAAAAATCAAAACTAGAAATGAATGAAAAACCACTTTCAATTTAGAAAAATTGAAATTTAGCATTTAATATTTGGGAAGGGTCAACGTCTTTAAAATTTAATTGCCACTAATACAGGTTTTTTAGGATTTGGGGGACAGGATAAATCTGGATGGAACCTGAGGGTGGGGGGAAATAGACTTCAGAGCTACATGTAGCCCAAAGATCTACGTTTTCCATCCCACAGATATCTGAAAGTCTGGATAACACTTCATACACTTGTTGAAGTGGGTGGTAGTCCACAAATGCCTATGTCATAATAAATGTATTTAATGGACCAAAGGTTTTTGCATCCAAGAAGTTCATAAGAGTTTTGATAGATGAGATAAAATTCTTATTCAGTTCAGAACCTGACAAAGTTGTTTTTTTGGTCTACATGTCTCCAGATTCCCCAGACAACCTTTCCAAGATTTCTTTTAATCCACCATGCTGCTTCCCATAAGAATACACGAAAGCAATTGTTATTGTTATTCCTTGGCAACTGGTATACAGAGGCACACTTCCTCTGGAGATAGTATATATATAGTCATTTTTACTAACAGCCACTCAAAGTCTTATTGTTTGTGGGTTTCTCTAATTCCCCTTTAGAGCCATCCAAATCAGCTGCTATCAGTACATCTTTCAGTAGTGAATTCTATAGTTTACTTATGTATTACACAAAGAAGACTTTCCTTGTGTCAATCCTGACTCTCCCATCCTTCAGCTTTCTTAAGAGGACCCCAGGCTATAGTACTTTGAATGAGAAATCATCTCTCATCTATTGTGCCTCTCATCGATTGTTGTTGTTGTGTGCCTTCAAATTGTTTGATTTATGGTACTCCTAGGGTGAGCCTATCACAGTGTTTTCTTGACCAAATTTGTTCAGAAGGGGGTTGCCTTTGCCTTCCTGTGAGGCTGAGAAAGTGTGACTTGCCCAAGGTCACCCAGTGGGTTTCCATAGCTTAGTAGGAATTCAAACCCTAGTCTCCAGAGTCCTAGTCCAGTGTTCAAACCACTACACCACATTGGCTCTCACCTAACCAGGTTTTTCCTCCCACAGTACTATCCTCCCCCAGTCTGTTGCTGTTTAGATATGTAACACTACAACTTCCATTACCCCAGATATCATGTGGATACCAAGTTGGGAAGGCTGCTGTATGCCACACATTCACTGGAGCCTTGTTTGTGTCTTGCTGTTGCTGTGTGCCTTCAAGTCAAGGCGATCCTAAGGCAAACCTATAACAGGGTTTTCTTGGAAATATTTGTTTAAATGCGGTTTGTCATTGACTTCCCCTGAGGCTGAGATCATGTGACTTGTCCAAGGTCACCCATTGGGTTTCATGGCCAAGCTGGGAATCGAACCCTGGTCTCCAGAGTCATAGTCCAAAATTGGTGTCTTATGCATGCATGAAGTTCCCCAATGCAAGCAGTTGGACATTTCCCCCCAATATGGCATTTTGGAAGGGATGCGGTGGCTTAGTGGTTAAGACGCCAATTCTGAGGATTGGAAGGTTGGCAGATTAAGGCATGACTGCTGCATGATGGGGTGATCTCTTGACATTAGTCCCAGCTTTTGCCAACCTAGCAGTTTGAAAACATGTAAAAGTGCAAGTAGATAAATAGGTACCACTTCAGTGGGAAGGTAACAGCATTTGGTGCAGTCATGCTGGCCACATGACCACCAGAGTAGTCATTGGACAATGCTGGCTCTTCGGCTCAGTAACAGAAATGAGCACCGCCTCCTACAGTCGGTTACAACTAGACAGTCACATCAGGAGACCACCTTTACCTTTTTATGACATGTCTGCATTCAGTTCAAGGTTGTGGAAGTGAAGTTGTCCATTTGCCACCATTATATGCATCGGTATGCATTGTGTTGTGCAATGGATTGCACATCTGGCCAGTGTGCATTTGTTTGTACATTTTGCTGTACAATGATTGTGCATTTACTAGGGCCTGAGTTATACAAACTTCCCATTCAAGCCAAGAAATTCAAGACAATCAATTTGTAACTTGTGCAAATTTGTAAACTTCACAACCCAAATGTAGGATCGTGGCCTCTCCTCTCTCCAATTGCATTGCCTTTTAATTGCATGCTAAAAGCAAAAAATATTATTTTAGTGGATGCAACCATATAACACTATATCCGTCTCATGCCCATAAAGTCTAAAAGACAGTATCACCCCATATGAGCTGAACCAAATTTTAATATCTTTGGAGGAAAGCTTTCTCTTAGTCCCGCCACCTTTGCAGGCATGGTTAGTGAGGACATGAGAGAGGGCCTTCTCAGTGGCTGCTCCTAGACTGTGGAACTCCCTTCCACATGAGTTATCCCCCTCCCAGCTTTCCTTCCAACAGCAAGTTGAGACTATTTAATTTATTCAGGCATTTGACTGATTTTAATCATATAGAAGAATGTTCTTTATTGCATTTTAAATATAGTGCATTTTTGTATTTGGATTTTATGGTCTTAACTTAGGGGGATTGCAGACTGCCAGAAATAGTGCAAATTGAGTCCACTTTTAGGGTTAGGGTTAGAGAATCATGGGGACTGTAGTTTATTGTGGCACCAGAGCTCTCTGACAGAGAAGGCTCAATGTCTCAGAAAAAAATCAATTCCCATGATTCCCTAGCACTAACCCTAACCCTAAAAGTGAAATCAATTTGCACTATTTCTAGCAGTCTGCAACAGGGTTTAGTGTTCTTAACAGAACTGTCATTCATTTGTATTTAAACTTTTGTATAGCACATTTTTGAACTAAACTGTTATTTTAAATTTTGTAAGCTGCCTTGACATGAGAAAGGAGGGATATAGATTGAATAAATGAAATGAAATGAATGAAATAAAAAGAAGTGAAGAACAAACTATGGCCACAACTGCCACAAATCCTGGAGCTGACAAAGTTCACACCAAGTTTATGTTAAAATGGACTGGTTAGTCTTTAAGGTGCCACCAGATTGTTTTTCCCTTTCCTTTTTATACTGACATGGGGTGCATCTACACTGTAGAAATAATGCAGTTTGACACCCCTTTAAGTGCTGTAGCTTCATGCTATGGAACCCTGGGGTTTGTCATTTTACAAGGTCTTTGTCCTTTTCTTTTACAAGGCTAAAAGACTTTGTAAAACTACAAAATCCCAGGACTCCATAGGATGGACCGCAGGATGACACCAGTTAAAGTGGTGTTAAACTGCATTATTTCCACAGTATAGATGCACCCACAGCTATTTCTTTGAAAAGTCCACACCAGACTGTCATAGCTATTCAAGTCCATCAGATCCATGGCTCTAATTGAAGCAACATCCTTCTTTAGGTGACAAGCAGTCAGAAATGAAAGGAGCATAGGAAACAATATATACATTGTCCCATAGAAGGGATTTGATCAGTTCCAGATAAAACCATTTTATCTTCTTAGATCATTATCAGTCTTTCCTTCCAAGGAAGAGGAAGAAAACAAAAATCCCTTTCTTTTGTTAGCAGATGTCCATATCCCTCAAGCATCAGGCAGTTCTAGGTAGCCTAAGGGCTTTCTGTCAGACAAGGTAGGTGACATTGTCTTAGAAATGAAAGACATTCTTTGTATAATTCCACAATCTATATTTGTTTAATAATATTATTAAGCCAACAAAATGAGGCTCAGCCAGGTGACGAAATGGTTTTAAGTCTCATTTGAAGTCGCCCCTTGGGCTGCTGGGAAAAAAGAAAGGCAGAAAAAAATTGGAAAATCAGCATGCAAAGGGATCTTTTAGCACCTCTGATACTGCCTGAAAGAAAGAAGTCGGTAACATGAGCTTTCATAGATTTGAGCCTACTTCTGCAGATGCATTTTAGAGGCATCTCAGATGCATCTGCGGAAGTAGGCTCAAGACTACAAAAGCTCATGCTGCCAACTTCTTTCCTTCAGTGAGTCTCAAAGATGTCACAAGATCGCTTTGCATACCTATTTTCAAACAGTTATTGTTGCCATCCTGGCCAAAGCACACTGGAGCCTTTTCCCATGAAAAACAGAGAAACAAGTTAGTTCTTTAGCTCAGTGGTTCTCCAACTGTAGAGCGGGACCCATGGGGTGTGTGCAAGAGTTGTTCAAGGAGAATGTAAGACCTGGAGGCCCTGATCCTTCTTCCTTGTCCTTCTCCTCCTCCCAATTTTTTTCTGTTCTGGAGCAGAAGAAAAAGGCAAGGTGGGGGGGCTTGGACCAGCCGCTTTTGCCTGACGGAGGAGAAGAAGAAGGAGACCAGGGATGCTCACCAGATCATGGCCTCTGGCAGGGACCACCCCGAGCTGCTCAGGGTGACCAGATATCCTCCTTTTCCAGGCCATGGGCTCCATTTCAACCTTCTGTCCAGGAAGAATTCCAAAATGTCCTCTATCTGGAACATGACTTAGAATCATGAATTTCTATTTATGTGAGTGGCTTTAGCTTTTATGTTGGAAAGTCCTCCATTTTTCTTGAATGTCCTATGTTTCACAGTGTCTTGTCCTCCTTTGAGGTTAGGACATCTGGTCACCCCAGAGCTGCCGCTTCTTCTACCAATCCTGTCACTGCCCTAGTTCTCAGGATGAGATGTTGCTGCTGCTTCAACCAGTGAATATGCTCAGTCCAATGCACCTCAGGTCCATAGCTGCCTAAGCAGAATCAATGGCCCAAGGTGGACCCCATTGGCAGCGGAGGCCAATTGTGCCTCTTGCTTGGGGTCACCACCATCATCTGGCTCTGCCCCAAAGGCAGAGGAGAAGGAGCCTCAGGGGCTCTGCTCCGAAATGAATGGCATGTCAGACCGGTCAACTGAGGAAGAGCAAACACACCATTTCATGTGAGCCATTGGCATGTGCCTTGGCTGGCCACTGTCCCACACCTGCTACAGTATCTCCTAGCTTGTGTCTTCTTCCTCATTCAGAACTTTTGCCATATTGACCACACACTGATGTTCCTCAGCCACAAATGTGCCAGTTTTCATCTGTGGAAATGTTGGATGGTATCAGAGGAAGGAACTGGCAAAATCACCTCTCTGAGCATGCCATGCCAAGGAAAAATCTATGATATTCATAGGATTGCTATGTCGATGGTGACTTGAAAGCACATACATGGAGAGAAAGTGCTTCCATATAAGCATTCTCAGATGCTGGTTTAATGTTCTTCCAGCAGCAGGGAACATACTGAATTATGAGTAGTTCCTGGGTGAATATTGGCAAGGGGATTTAGGTATGATTGGTGTAATAATAATAATAATAATAATAATAATAATAATTTCACCATATTTTATGTTTGGTATGTTTTAGCTGTCTACACACCCTGGAAGCACCAGATCCATTTGCATCTCATCTTGGAAACTAAACAAGATCAGGCCTGGTTAGTTCTTGGATGGGGACTGCCAAGGAATACTAGGTGTAGGAGGCCATATTTCAGAAGAAAGAAATGCCAAAACCAACTCTAAGTAATCCATGCCTAAGAAAACCCTGTGAAATTCACAGGGTCACCATAAATCAACAAGCAACTTGAAGGCACATACACAAATGTTTTAGTGATGTGAACTGAGAAAAAGGTGGTGGGAACAGGAGAAAGAGGGGGAGGAATTTCTGGAATGAACCTTTTCCCTTTTAAAATTCTTCCTCAGGAATTGGAGAAGTTGTTTGTGTCATCATACAATGCCATCTACTTCCCAATCTCATCTCACCACCTTCCCCTTTCCTTACACGTACTTTTATTTGATCTACAATATGATAAAGTTTACTGGTACCCTTGTGTTAGAGGAAGAACCATTGTTTCTCTCAAGATCAGGAACTGAATACAAATAAGAAATGGAGACACATAAGTCCAGTTCACTTCAGTGAGATATCTTAGGCAGTTGGGGATGTTTAGCCAGGAGAAGAGAAAGTTAAGAGGTGATATGATAGCCCTGTTTAAATATTTGAAGGGATGTCATACTGAGGAGGGAACAAGCTTGTTTTCGGCTGCTCCAAAGAATAAGACAAAGAACAAAGGATGCAAACTGCAGGAAAATAGATTCCATCTCAACATTAGGAAGAACT